CACACACATAGAGCGAGTGTGCACTCGATCTGTGTGTGTGTGGTTTTAAAAGACCCCAGATTTTCTCTCTCATTCCCTTCACAAATCATCACAAGCCATCCATAACGAAAAAGCATAGATACTAGATAGGCAGTATAATAGAAAATGCAAGGTTGGCCATGTTTGTGTGGTTCAACGCCAAGTGCCCACACAACCGTCTTCCGCCAAAGAGGCACACTTGCACATATGCATATGCATACATATATATTTCAAACCATAAGGGGATGGAGGGAAGAAGGCAACTTACCTAAGACAGAACACTACTCCAGCAAGAAGGCACCAACCCGGCCCCTTCAAACGTCCAAAAAAACTTGGAGAGCCTTCCACATCGGCCCACAAAACCAAAAACTAATTTACCAAAAACAAACAAATAACAGCCTTGTCGTTCCCGACGTTCATCTCAAACTACACACTTGCTTCACTGCCAAAGAGGAGGAAGAAGATAAGAGAACTTACCTAAGACAGAAGACTCCTCCAGCAAGAACGCACCGACCCCCCCCGCTAAGGGTCCAAAAAAACTGGGAAAGCCTTCCACGCCGGCCCACAAAACATACATTCCCCCCAAAGAGAACCTCGTGGCCACCCAAAATAATCCAAACAGCCCATGCTCTAAAGCAGGGCAAAGAATTAGGCCGTGTATAATCAACAAAACCGACAAGACATATCCAACCACAAAAGAGAGAATAGCTCGCTAGTACGAGCCCGATCCTAGCCGCGCAAATCTGTGTGTGTGTGTGTGTGTGTGTGTGTGTGTGTGCGTGTGTGTGTGTGTGTGTGTGTGTGTGTGTGTGTGTGTGTGTGTGTGTGAGGGAGATCCTAGGGAAGGTGAGAATCAATTTCTTCTGGCTGGAGCAGAGAGAAGGGGCGTGATGTCGGGTAAAAAGAGAAAGGCATCGGACGATGCCGTGGCCAGAACAGGAGCACGGGCAGATGAAGGAGTAGTGGCATTTGAGGCGATGGGACTCGATCCCCGGGTGCTTCAGGCGCTAAAGAAGGCTGAAATCTCCGTACCCACACCAGTTCAGGAAAAATGTATTCCCCTGGCATTGGTAAGAGAGCGGTTCGTCGTTTGTTTACTTGTTTGCTTTTTGTTGGTGGGTATTTTTATTTTTATTTGGTAACTGAAGTTACGCCATTCATTTTGTCCTTTTTGTCCTTCTTTAACTGAGGACTTAGCTCGTCCAGGTTCTCTGCACATGATGCGGGCCCAACAGCAGAGCTGGAAGAGTCTGATATCGAACCCATGGTTAAGTGATCTTCTGAATAGTGACACGTGGCCAATGGAGAACCACAGACTACAAGGTTCCTGTGGACGACGGCAACTGCAGCTGTAGTGGAAAACTAGCCCTTATCCAAAACACACACTCTCTCTCTCTCTCTCTGTTCTCACTCTTTCTCTCTTCCCACTCTCTCTCTCTTTCTCTTCTCCCCCAAGAAGCAGAGTTTAACACCTATGTACGGCTGCAACCCAGCTACGGTAAAAAGATGACATCTTTAGAGAACTTGTTCTCTTTCTCTCTCTCTCTCTCGCGTTCTTTCTTTCTCTCTCTCTCTCTCTCTCTCTCTCTCTCGCTCTCGCTCTCCCTCTCTCCCTTCCTTTCTCTCCCCCTCTCCATCCCCCCGTCCCCGGGGAACAAGCAGAATTTTAAGACATTTGTTTACGAGTCCAATCACAGAGACAGCTATAGTAGGAGGTGTCTCTGCAGAAATTTCTCTTTCTCCCCCTCTTCCGCTCTCTCTCTCCGACCTCCCACCTTTCCTCCGGCGCAAGCAGAGTTTAACACATCTGCTTACGAGTGCAACCACATAAACAGCTATAGGAGAATGTCTCCCTGCAGAACTTTCGTTCTCTCTCTCTCTCTCTCTCTCGCTCCCCCTCTCTCTCTTTCTTTCTCTCTCCCTCTCTCCTTCTTTCTCATCACACTTACAGCGCATATTGCAATTTGCAATGATGATGGATGTTAATGGCTACTTCAGAGGGCAAAAAGGGGGGGATCTGCCAGAATGGCTACGTACGTAGTACATGCATGCATGCATGCAGGGTGGGGGTGGATATGGAGGTTGTGCCTGCTATTGATGGTGCAGGGTGGTATTACTGCTCACAATTGGGATTTTGATGAATGAAACAGGAGGGCAAAGACGTTGTGGCTAGAGCGAAAACGGGATCGGGAAAGACGCTGGCGTATCTGCTTCCTCTTGTTCACAAACTCCTCAGCTCTGAGCGATCGACGTTGGCAGCAGACGGCACAGCCAATCAGCCTTCCATGCGAGCGGTGATCTTGGTCCCGACACGAGAACTCTGTCAGCAGGTAACAGTTCGGTGATCTACTTTGCTATCTGTCTAACTGAACTACCAGGGTTTAGATGTAGATTCTTTAGGAGGGAGGGAGGAGCTGTGAAGTTCTCTCTTACCCAGATAGGAAAGTAGTGCCACGGGAAAGTAGCCCCGGGGATGGGCTGTTTGCTGGGAAGCCCTGTGAATCTTAGTCCTCCCAATTCTTTTCGTAAACCACCAGAGGCCCGAAATTGCCCTGCGCACCACTAAAATACGTTTCCACACGGATGCACCTGCCCCTCCGCCGCCAGCCATTTAGCGGCGGGCCTGTACCCCCTTGTTAACCGTCGCACTCTTATTTTTCTGGTGTGGAAAGGTGCTCGTGGTCTAAATTCACCGCACTGACGATGGAAGAATTCAAAATATCGGGGCAAGCAGGAAACCCAGGAGCAAGCTATGGTAATTAGATTTATTGGGCCTCGCTGCACTACTCTCGAAATGTGCAAAACGAGAGTGAATCTTCCGCTAGAATATGGAAAGATACACGGCCATGATTTTTGTCTTTTGTGCATTTCAAGAGTAGTGCAGCCACGCCCATAGTCTTAGAAGTTCCTAGGCTACCAGAGTGGCCAGGGGTCACTTGCCCGGCCGGGGCACAAAAAAAAAAAAAAAAAAAAAAGTTAAAAATTTATTTTTATTTTAAATTTGGTAAACAATTTCGATGTGACCCTGAGGCAAAAGTTATTCAGTTTATTTTT